AGTCACCACAGTCATTGTGTTGAAATGACTTAGTTTCTGAGAAATACAAAAGCACAAAAATGAATTACTGAAATAAAAATAAGGGAAGAGTAGTTACTGCATGTCACAAATCTTTTGTTATATAACATTAATAAATTGCTACTCCGTTCATTTTTTAATTAACAAAATCAATATTACTATTACTAATAATAATGTAAGCTTTTGAAACGTTGACAGGAATATTTTGAAACAGTTTGTGTATCATGTTTGTTTTTTATTATGAAGGACTGAACTCAGTTTATCCCATCCGTTTGACTCTTATTGTGAAGGACGGAAATAAAGTTTTGTAACTTCCGTTGTTGTTGAATGATTTATATTATTGTAGTTTATTTAGTTTAAAGGCATTGATAACCCTGGGCAGTAACCATAAAAATAATAGTATTGACAACTATAATAGTAAATATATTAATATTAATAATGACCCGRAATGTACCGGCCGGTGTACGCAGGACAACAAACCATTCGAACCCACTCAKTAAAGTCCGCCCATCGATCGTCCACACACAACCAAAACAACTAGCTAGTTGTGCTGGTGAAAATATAAAACCTGTTACCTTGTTGCTTTGAATAAGCGTTTATAAGGAGGTGGTGTGCTTGTGAAACCAAACAGGAACCAGGATGTGTTCCGTGGTCGGGTGTTATTCAGGACGTCGGAGAGCGGAACAATTCAAGTTACCTGAGGACCCAGAGGAGAGGCTGCAGTGGGTCGTGTTTTTAGCGAAAACCAACAAGCAGCGGTTTAAAGAGTCCTCATGGACGGATATCACTGTTTGCTGTGAACACTTTACTGGAGACTGCTTTGTTGATGAGACTCAMCCGGTCCAGCTGAATCCAGGTGCTGTTCCATCTCTGTGTTTGACATGTGGACCAGACGAACCTGTGAGGAGCTCCGGATGTGAGGTGAGGGTTCACAATCAAAACAAAGAGTGCAGCATTAGCATCAAAGGTTTGGGGCAGACACTGTCAACTGTTTCATTACTCAGAATAATAATTAGAATATCTATAATTTCTTAGATTTTTTTCTTTTATATGTAGGAGCTTGAGGATAACTCACAATGTGCTGATCTGCAAGATCCACTCAACACATCTCCAGATCCAACTCCATATTCCAAAGGATCAAGCCTGAAACCACTGGGTACACATGAAGCACGCTTTACGAGTTAGAAACAATGATATGCCACTTGCTTATATTATTGTTATAATTCTGTATTTGCAGGTTCTAGCACTGACCCATTCGCAACAGGACCTTCACGCTCACCTGGTTCCTCTGAATGTGGTCAGGCACGAGCAGAACAAGTAAATGCTGACTTGGTTAAGGAAAAGTAGGTTTTTAAAGTTTTCCCTACATTTAAAAAACATCACAACATTTCTCAGGGGCAGAGCCAGAGGGGTGGCAAGGGCCGCCTCTGGCACCTGATTGGCCACCGCAGGTGCCAATCAATTTTGACTGGATGATTTTTCCAGCTTTATGCTTTAAAATGGCTGAATTATAGCCTTTTGCAAAATTAGCATTAGCATTAGGGGTTAGCTTAATTTGGGATTGGCATCAGCAGTTATGTGATCATTCTTAGCTACTCCACAACAAATTTCATCTCAGTAAGTCTCAAAATTATAGCGTTTTAAAGCTAGTTGTGACGGCCATCTTGGATTTTTTTATTAGGATTTAGAATTTACTTCTACRCAAATCTTCAACTTTGTTTGCCTAAAAATGTCTGGACAATAAGTTGTGACCAGCATTCTGGATGTTTTTTGGATCATACTGTGATCACACAAATTTCAGCTCTGTATTTCTTAAACCTGCTGAATTAAAGCCATTTGGAGTTAGCTGAGTGTTTTTTTCTCTATTTGCATTTGCCCCACACTAAAAAAAAAAAAAAAAACCTTGGCCACCCCCTTGCAGAAATGTCTAGCTCTGCCCCTGGTTAAGTTTTAGCAGCAAGTTGTTGATTAAACTTTCCTTTTCGAAGAATGGTCCTTTTACAGAAAAAAGGAAAGCTTCCTGTGAACGAAAGCCACCTTCGTCAGTTGTTTGGCAGCGATTGTCCATCATGTGGAGGTAAACTCAAGGTGCACAAAGTCATTTGTGGCGTTGTTGTTAGCTTTAACCAGCTGTGCCTTCAGTGTGACTACACGTATGAGTGGAAAAGTCAGGTGGACGGCAGCGTCCCAGCCGCTGAAGATGGACACGTGAAAGCAGGCTTAGAGGTAGGACCATATAGATCAAACATAAAACATGTTTCAGTTCGTTCTTTCATATATTTTTTATTTTTTTAATTTTAGTATTTATGCATTTCATTAAAAACAAAACAAAACACATTACATACAACAAAACAATGTAAATCAAATAAAATGAAAGGCAGCAGCAGAAGAAAAAAATCTTTTATCTGCTCCTATTTACAACAAAAAATTATATTAATTTCAAACAATAATAAACCAAATAA